CAACGGATCAAAGGTCCATCTTTTCTGCCACACGATTTCCCACAGCAGCCAACCGGCGGTCACAAGCAAGCAATAAAGTCAATAATTTGCTCTTATACTTGCAACTGGTCTTTGGTGACATGAGGCCTCTGAACCAGGATGGCCATTCTAACTAGTTGCCACTGATAGACATCCTCTCTGAATTGTCTGATCTCTTTTTAAAACCTTCTACAGTCGTGGCCATCATCATTTTTTTTCACTGCATGAAAAGTGCCCTTGAGGCTATGTAAGTTAGTATTATTTTGCACACAAGTAAAATGCTGTGCTGAAGGAAAATAAGATTTTCCTGTCTCCCAGCACCTCTAAAGTTTATTTCCGTGCATGGCTTCATGTAGTTTGGAAGCTGCATTTTAATGATAGGAGCTGAGTTTAAGGCAAAAAGAAAATGTAATTGGATAACTATTACTCAAAAGATGTACATTCTGGGTAGTGATGTGTGAGGAATCTAGTTGGGGGTGTGTATTCCTTGGATTTTCTCAGTTCAGTTCCCTGGACTCCAGCCTGCTCTCTCTCTGCCCTGCCCCCTCCTTGTGCTGAGCGTTTGTGTGAGCATCTGGCAGGAAGCAAGTCCAAGCAAGCTTGCATGCCCACTCTGCACGTGGAGTTCTCCTTCAGCACACATAACTTGTGGGTTTTGTGTACTTTGCATACTTTACAGAAAGAATTGCAAACTGTGCATACTTTGGGCAAAGAAGCCACCCACATTCTTGAGCATTAGTGGAGTTGTTCTCAGCTCGGGTTACTTCCTGGCCAGGGCTGAGTGGGGAAAAGAAGTCCAGCATGTGCAAGAGAGCCAGAATCTGGCTGGATCTCTGCACCCTTAATTCTGGATTATATCCAAGTAACTCTGCCCTGTGCCAGAACAAGCTCAGCAATAGCTCCTCTGCCTTGCACATCCCCAGTGCAGCTTTGGCAGGGGTGGAATTAGGGGAGCCTCTGGAGAATATTACATGTAGGATGCAGGTACTGCAGTACAAGCAGAAGAGGGGAAGGTCCTGTTGCTTGAGCTGAAGTCCACCTGCACAATCTGGAAATTGCCCTTTTGAATGGCAGCTCACATGAGACATTTATACAATGCATGCTAGCCTTACGATGTAAACATGCCCCCTGCATTGGTGTTATATTTTCTTTTCTCCCCATTTATTTGAAATATCACTGGGAAAAATTACAGTGATAAGACAAAATATTTCGGTATAACACATCTCGCTGAAATCAGTAGCAACCGTTTCATCACATATTGCCCCTCTTCAATATGGCATTTTAAATTGTTTGTCATGGTAGTGATGTTGCTTTAACATTGCACAGTGGTTGTGTTGTTGTTATGCTTTTAAATTATTATTTTATCTGATTTGTTGCACATTGCTTTGATGGCATTTGTGGAAATGTAGTATTGAAACCTTATTAATAAAATAAGTCAATAAAATTGTCCTTGTGGTGGTGAAACCCACAAGGAAGAGCGCAGGTGGTGGGAGAGGAATATGGGGAACAGAGACCGGAAAGCACGCAAGCCCTGATTCTGTGTTGATTGCCCTGCATCGTTCGATTTCCCTCCAAGATCACAGAAGTCAGGAGCTGGTCCTCTGCAACCATGATGAATCAGAAGGGAAGGGAGAAATAGGATAAAAGCCAAAAGGTATTTCTAGGTGCTGGTGGAAAGTCTCTTATTATAACCCTGTGCATTTTGGAAAGATTAGTTTCCCCTCCCGGGGCTGCAGTAAAAATACAGGCAGGCAACATTATAGTTATTTAGTGTTACTCCAAAACATCTGAAAGCAAATCAAATCCTCTGCGATTATGGGATGCCACTGCTGGTTTCTTCCTTTACAAAATCATTTCTCAAAATACTTATAGACCTATCTGGCAATTGTATATATTATGATATATTCCAGAATAAAAAGCTTTCTGTAGGCACCTGGGACATCCCAAACCCAAACCTGAACCCAAACCTCTACACTAAAGAAACATTCCCTTGCACCTCTTGGGGTTTTACTCAATATGGGCTAAATAAACCATATGATTCATAGTCACAGAAAGAATGTTCCTATTCACCAGTGAGATCGAGATCACAACAGCTTTCTTGTGAACATGTTCACATACTGACATGACTCATCATGTGTTGGATTTAGACTGCAAACCCACACAGACATACATGGAAATAACTCTGTGATGCCTAATTCTGAGTAAACTTGTACAGAACTCGGCTGTAAATAATGTACATGCACAAATGAATCAGCTCTCTGTTTGTCTTTGCTCTGGCAGATGCTACTGCAGGACTGTACTGCTCCTGCCAGAGACACCTTGAATTTCAAAGTACTGCCAGAAGTAAAGAAAGAAATAATGAGGAAATGATCTTGGAGCCCTGGAAAACATTAAAATGCTCGGAATGAACAAAAGTACATTAGCATTGATGGTAGCAGTGGGGAAGAGAAGCTGAAAGGCCCTTTCTAATTCTGGAGAAGCAAAATTTTATGTGGCAAGCTTGTTTCTTTAGTTTTTGAAAACTGGTAGGATGGTAGGATGATATTTTTAATATTTACTTGATACATAGTCTATCTTACCTTGTTCAGCTGCTCACTCTCCTTTGAGTGATAGAAGGGTTAATAAATAACCAGTAAATTGGTGTTGTTGTTTAGCAAAGTCATGTCTGACCCATTGCCACCCCATGGACAACATTCCTCTAGGCTCTCCTGTCCTCCACCATCCCCTGGAGTCCATCTAAGCTCTCACTCACTCCATCTAGCCACCTCATCCTCTGCCATCCCCTTCTTCTTTTGCCGTAAATTGTTCCCAGCATTAGGCTCTTCTCCAGGGAGTCCTTCCTTCTCATTAGGTGGCCAAAGTATTTGAGTTTCATCTTCAGAATCTGGCCTTCTAAAGAGCAGTCAGGGTTGATCTCCTCTAGGACTGACCAGTTTGATTGCCTTGCAGTCCAAGGGACTTGCTGGAGTCTCCTCCAGCACCACAATTCAAAGGCCTCAATTCTGCGCTCAGCCTTCCTTATGGTCCAACTTTCACAGCCATACATTGTGACTGGGAAAACCATAGCTTCGACTATGTAAATTATTTATTTATTGACCAGTAAATAGAACAATACTATTGGATGAGTTTCAGTTGTTGAGGCCTGAGGATGTGGGCAAGGTGCTTGAATTGGTTCAGACTGCTACTTGAGTGCTCAACCCTTGCCCATCATGGCTGGCCATATAAAGTAGAGGGGGAGCACCCTGGGTCCTGGAGGCTGTGAATGCCTTGTTAAGAGGGAGTGGTCCTGGCCTCATTAAAAGAGGCTGCTACTAAACCACTCCTGAAAAAGGCCAATTTGGACCCAGGGCAGTTATAGACCAGCCACTAATATTCCCTTCCTGGGCAAGGTGTTTGAGTGGGTAATGGCTCACTAACACCAGGCTATCTTGGATGAAATGGACTCAATCAGGATTCAGATCTAGATTTGGAATGGAAATTGCCTTGGTCACCCCATGGGATGACCTATGCTGGAGGAGAGCCGGGGGAGCGCAACCCTGTTGGTTGTCCTGGACCTCTCAGCAGCTTTCAGTACCATCGACCATGGTATCCTTCTGGACGGGCTAGTCAAATTGGAAGTAGCAGATACTGCTTTGCAGTGGTTCCATAACATGACTGGTTATGTCCAGAAGGTGTTGCTGGGGGATTATTGCTCTGTGCTGTAGCATCTATGCCATGCAGTTCTGCAGGGCTCTGTTTTAGCGCCCATGCTTTTTAACATCTACACGAAACCACAGGGTAAGGTCATCAGAAGGTGTGGGCTGAGTTGTCATCAGTATGCTGGCAGTTCTGTGGATGTTCTGAATCAAGGCCTGGCCTCGATGATGGATTGGATGAGGGCTAATAAACTGAAACTTAATCCAGATAAGACGGGGGATACTCTTGCTAGGAAGTGCATTTCTTCAGAAGGGTGACTTCTTGCCTGTCTTGGATGGGGTCTCACTCCCTCAAGTTCACAGCTTGGGGATTTTCCTGGACCCTGAATTATCCCTGCAATTCCAGGTGGATTTGGTGGCCAGGAGTGCCTTCTATCAGCTTAAGCTGATATATCAGCTGCATCTGTATCTGGGCAGACAGGACTTGCCAGCAGTTATCCATGAACTGATAACCTCTCATCTGGATTATTGCAATATGTGGGTCTTCCCTTGAAGACAGTCTGGAAACTTTAGTTGGCCCAGAATAGGGCAGCCAGATTGTCATCAAGGACTGGCAGATACGATCACATACAGCCTGTCCTCTACCATCATCACTGGCTCCCAGCTGAGGTCCAAGCCCAATTCAAGGTGTTAACACTGGTGTTTAAAGGCCTAAATGGCCTGGGGTCAGGGTATCTACAGGAGTGCCTCTTCCCTTATGCAGCTGCCCAGCACCTTAGGTCTGCATCTGAGGCCCTTCTGAAGGAACCCCCTCCTCAGGAAATCAGGTGGCTGGTAACACAAAGAGGAGCCTTTTCTGCAGTGGAACCCCAACTCTGGAACAAGCTCCCCAGAGGGGTTTGTCTGGTGCCTTCTCTACATTCTTCTAGGTGCCAGGTGAAGACCTTTTTAGTCCAACAGTGTTTTAATTGCTAATTTGTTTTCAGCAGTATTATAACTGTGGGGTGAGTTATCATTTCTGCACATTTTATGTTGGTTTTAATTTTTATTATTATTTGTAATTTCTGTTTTTATACTGCATTTTGTTCCATATTTTCATGGTTGTAACCTGCCCTGGGAGCCATATGGCTAATAGGGTAGGTTAGAAATCTAATAAATAAATGAGTAAATAAATACTATGAGCTCCCAGTGACTTATCTAGGGCCATCCATTCCCCTGGGAATAGTTGCTGAATCTCCTTCCAACAAGGCAGGGAAGAAATTGATGAAGCTTTGATGGGTGCTTGTAACAAAAATTTAGGAAGGATATATAGGAAACAAATAGGAAATAAAAATAACATCATCTCACCTCTTAGCCTATAATAGGCTTGGTGGCTTGCTAAAATTTGCTTCACTGATTCTTGAGGGCAAACCTTCACTCCAGTAGGGAAAAAAGAAGACCTCTTTGTCCGATGTTTGGCCATATCAAATATCCTCCGAATTGTCGATACTCTAGACCTCTTTGTTGTTCTTTCTGACTTGTCAGAAGCTGAAGTGTCTGCAAGATGTTTGGCTTCACTGCGATTAATTTTATTTGGAGTTTCTGTAAGGGGAAAGACGTGCAGAAACAAACGGGTCAGTCAAATGGATACAAAGAGAGCCCTGGGATTTTTGTACTATATCTTCTGGAACAGTGAAACACATGGAATACTTTGTTACTTTGATATAACGTGCAGTTGTGATAAGTAACTGAGCGTCAAGCTTTTTTCTGTGCCATAATATTTTCTGACTTCTGCACTACTGTTTACGGTAGTACATTTACCTTGGGGAAGAAGGAAGGGTTTTCTTCATGGTAAAGCTCAAAGGTTTGAACATGTTTGTTGCCCTGTTCTGCAGCTTCTTCTGGCTGACTTGCTGAACCATATGAAACAGTCTCCTCTCCCTCTTTCTTTGTGTTTGCCTTGGTGCACCTGCAATGTATGCGTCAGGCATGGAGTGGGTGTCGGAGTAATGCAGGGCTGGGCAGCAAGTTGCTCGCCAGGCATTCTGGACTGCACTTCCCAGCATTGCACTGGTGAAAGGGGATAGTCCCGACTCACAGGCTCGCCACCTAAGACTCCCCTTCCTGGGGCATCCACACCTCCCCCACCCACAAGGCCTCAGGCCACTCCGCTGGAAACCCAGGCAGCCTGGAAACCCCTGAGCGTGCTGCGAGTGAAGGGCTGTCCTCCAGCCACCTGTTGCCATCCCGCCACAGAATGTCCCTGCACCCTCCCTGCACAGCATGCCTGGTATTAAAAGGGAAGGGAAGGGAGTGGAAGGGGCCACTGCCGCTGCTCTGTGTGTGAAGGGGTATGTCTGGCAGGCACAGGAGCAGGCTGGAAACGGCAGAGAACGATCAGGGCCTGGGCAAGGTAGAGCAACAAAGGGGATGAGGGAAGACATGGCGACCGGGGGGACAGAGGTAGGAGCCTGCAATGACTGGGAGATGAGCAGAAGAAGCAGAGTATCAACAGGGGTGGGAAGAACAAGGGGAGCTGAGCAACTAGGGCATGGGGGAAGTGGAATGGTATGGGAGTTACGAGAGAAACGGGGCAGAAGGTGAAAGGATGGGCTACCAAAGGAAGTGCAGATGCCCGAGAAAGAAAGAAAACTGAGGTGTGTGCACACGCATACATGAGCACACAAAAGTTGGAGTTAGTAAGACAGATCTTGAATGAGCATGATTCTTTAATGAGAATTTTAAGCAGCAAATGCATTCCACCAACCACAAGAGAAGAATAAGAAACCACCAATGTTTTATCTTGAAACACTTCTTTTTTCCTGATATTGTGGGAAAAATGATTGCCAACCAACCTTCAAAGTCACTTTGGACAGGAAGCCTCCCCACAAAACTGTTCTTTGTCCTTCAGACTTTCACCTCTTGACCTGTAATTTGCCTTTCTGGCACCTGAATGTTTTGGAAAGCTTTAAGAAAATGCCCTGAAGGTTAAAAAAATCCGATACTGTTCAACATGATGCAGTACTTTCTTTACTGATGTGCCTTAGCGAAGGATTGTGTCTCCATTAAATCTGAAGACTTATGAGAAACCAAATCTTAGATTCATGGTTTCATGTTGTGGGGACCCCTTTTTAGTGTGTGCTCTATAGATGCCAATGCAAACTTGAATTGGATGGTGGTTTGGAACAGGGGGAGCCGGCAAGTTCAAGAGGGCCCACTTCAACTCTAGAGGATATGACTTTCCCCAGACCCAGAGGAAATGCCATGGGGTGGGCTCTCTGTGTATGGGGAGCAACTTGTGGGGGTGGCGCCACCACGCTTTTCCAAATTGAGAATGTACCCATACTTCAGAAAGGTTAGGGACTTCATGGAAGACACACAACACACATGGAGAGTATTCAGGAGAGGTAAGACGTAGAGATATGGATCGAATAGGAGAAGTTCTTGAATATGGCTTCAGGCACAGGCTTAATTAGACCACCTTTGATCTTTGCCACCTATACCGTTTTATATGTGCATTTTTACATTTAACTATAAGTATGACTTCTCCATGCAAGGGTAATAAAAATAAAATTGTATGGTAGTTCCTACATGGTGTGTTCCTTTGCAACCCTCAAGATATTTTACATTCTTGGATTTGGATTTTAGGAAGTAGCTCCACTTAAGTAGAAGTTGTGCAAAAGTTGTCAAAAGCCAAACTATCATGAGAAACCAAATCTGTGAGTGATTTTTGCTCATGAAATAGGATGGCCAGGAACAAGATCCCTTAGACAGTTTTGGTGGGGATCCTGTCTACAGAAACGTCTATACCCTTTTCTGAGATTCTGGCTGCTCAAGAATATGGAAAAGCATGAACAACACCCTTTACAGAAGAATGGAGCTTTGCCAGCTGGTTGTCAGAGCTTTTGGTCCTCTTCAAAGGCTTTTCTTTGACAGTGCTATTCAGGGTTTTTTGAGAGGGACATATGGAGGCATGAAGGTCTACTGATCACTAAGGCAGGGACAGTCACCCCAAAGTGTTGCTTGGGCACTTGTGGGTTGGTTGTCACGAGTGGCAGCCTGTGAGAGCTTGACAAGCAGTGCAAGTGTTTCCACTGGTCTTACCAGGCAGCTCACTAGGCACTTCCTGGTGTTCATGATGGACTTGGTCATCCAGGTTTATATGACAGGGCAATCCAGCATGGGTACAGCAACTCAAAGAACTTGGGTTATCAGGGTGGTTTGTTGCCCATGAACAAGCCACCTTGTGGGAAATGGTCTGGGTTCACACAATATGACAACCCGTTGTGGCTTGTCACCCATGATGCATTATTATGTCATGCAGACTAAGTAATAATGTTACGAACATGATGTCTGTAAGAAATATGCATACAAATCCACTGTTCACCTTTATAGTTCTGAATTCATATTTTCTGAATGAAACGATTCAGTGACTTGTGAAGGTAGCAAAACTGCCGAGTCACTTGTAAAGACAGCGTAAGGGCCATTTTGTTTTTGCACAGTGAGAAACACAGATTTTCCAACCAGGTTAATAGTAAATCCTGAATTTCTCAGAAGTCAGCCTGTGCATTACATGTTGCAAGATTCTCCAAGGATCTAGGAAAATGCAGAGCAGTTCTCGAAGTAGGGAAGAGTGTTATTATACCAACTTGATATCAAGCATTTAGTTAAACTAAAGCCTGCTAGAACCTTTCATGACTAACAGGACCAGCCTGTGCTAGAGAGCTTATGCTGGTTCCATATAAAACCGGGTCAGAACTACGCTAGAGTCTAGTATGCTAGAAGTGCACTTTTAAAGTGTACATATGTGTTCTTGAATACTCATTTGTTTTATTTGCATCATACATTTTATGTGTACTCCCGAAAGATAGAAACCAGTGTTTTTGTTTTGTTTAAAACTCAGTAAGATAATTATAGTGGCACAACAGTATTCCAATAAAAGACAGTAGGGATGGTTCTATTCATTTTGTGGGAAACTAGATGGCAAAATTACTTTTATTAAATTAGAGTTGAACTTTTCACAGGTTCATTTTACAGTTCTGCCTGACATAACTTTACATGACATGGAATTCAAGTTTTTTGTTTTGAAGATGACAGCAAGAAAAGTGTAAGGTTTGCAGTTCAATAACTCAGAAAAAGCAGCATTTTCATTTTCTTGAAGACAATGAAGGAGTAGTTGGTGGAGTCATTATATTTTAAATTCTATTCAGTGAAGCTTAAAAAAATACCCTGTAGATTTTAAATGATCTTTTCACAGTGCTTTGGAAACATTTTTATAATTCTCACATGTTATGTATGTGTTTTATAATTATATGGGCAACCTGAAAGAGGAAAAGGTAAACATGATAAAGGTTTGTTTAAATAACTCCTGTGAAAGGAAAATGGTGAGATGTGTAGATAATTGGAATATTTTCTGAGGCAGAAAATATTCTAAGAAGCCAACAATATGTGTGCAGCATTGATACTGACTAATTGACTGTAGATTTGGAAAAGGTTCACATTAATTTAGGGGTGGAGAAAAGAAATAAAATTTCTTTGATGGGAGTCAAGTTTACAAGAGACTAAGAATATTAGGAAAATTAAGAGCTAAATATTTAGTGGAGCATGACAAGCTACAGTGTAGCAGGAATGATTTACATCTGCTTTATTTCTTATTCTGTGAAATAAAGCATATAGCTTCAAGCTAAGCTATAAACATTAATTATTATGTCAGCAGTTGTCAGATAGATGAAAAGAAAATGCAAGAGAAAAGATGCTTCATCCTGACATTTTGGAATTGACTGAATCGAATTTGAGCGGACCAAGAAAGGGGTGACATTTTCAGTATTATGCTAGAGAATATGTAACCTCCTTTTTCTTACAACTGGCTATTACTAGAATTTTTAATTAAAACATTCCAGAACATGTTTCTTTCCAAGTGCAGATGATGGGAAGGGTTATTACAGTTATGCAGGAAGACTGATTTCAGCAGAGGATGCTCTAAGTGCCCTGCTAAGAGGCAGCAAAATACCTGAAAATTAACCAGGGTGGTTTGCCGGATGGCAGGGCTTTTCTTTGGGTGTTGAATGTCTAACATCTAATTGCCTGCAGGAAAGTGGGAAGACCGGCACAGACCTATCATATTTGTCAGCTCTGTTTCTATTGACCACGAGCTGTTTGTCACTAATCTGTGACAAGCCAACATGATCAAACACCAATAAAACCGTTTGCTGAACGAGCACAAGCAGGAGGCAGAAGTGAATCACAGCCCACAAGTGCCAACTAACTATTGGCTATGCTTTTGACAGGAACCTTCTCTTTTCACTGTTCAGATAAGTGGACCAAGCTGGAAAAGCAGCACCATGCAAAAAGCTTCAACCAGAAGGTGCAGGCAGGGAATAAAGTTGCTTATTTATTAGCTTTTTATCTGCCTCATTAGCCATAAGTCTCCCTTATGCATGGGGTTGAGGTGGGGTGAACAAGCCCAAACTGTATTATCCCAAGAAGGTCTAAACCACAGGCATTCAG